GTTATAGTGTTATAGTATGTTCTATGTGATAGTATGTATTCTATGCATTAGTGTTTATATCCAATTTCCTCATAAATGCATAAAATCCGCAGTCTAGAAAGAACGATATGACAGAGAATTAATGTTGTATTCGTATCTCTTGATAAGTAACTTTTTTCAAGAAATTCTTAACATAATCTTGTGCACAGATTGGACGTTAACCTAAAGAACGAAATTCTCTGCGCTGGGGTCAGGACCGCGAACGAGAGCATGTGGTCTAATATTCTGAAACAAATAACTGTATCTGAACCCGATGAAGAGACTAGGAAGGAACAGCTGGTGGCTCTAGCCTGTTCCAACTCGACTAAGATTCTGAAGAAATACCTAAACTCAACTCTCAGTCCAGGCTATCCGATTAATTTCAAGACGGCAGCGGCAAACGTGGTGTCCAGATATCCGGGGGGTGCCCAACTCGTTTTCAATTTCGTGCTCAAAGAATACAGGCGCATCGAGAAATTGTAACTAACTTCGTACCTTTCTTTTTTTTCACTGTGGTCATTATTTCGTTTACTTAAGGTTATGTGAACCGTAAAATCTCTAAAAGTTTAAGAAAAGTGATAACAAGTTGTACCCAATATGTGAAACGATAAACTTTTAGAAAGGTTTACAAAATCGTCGACGTATTTTTTTAAGTCAAATAATGTTTTATATATAATTTCTACAATTCTAATATATGATTTTTTGATTGTTAATGTAATTTGAATGCTATGCCACTATGTTTACTTAAAAATTCATACAACCTTTAAAGAAAAATGAAAACAATGCTAAATAGTTATGGCATGACAGTGTGAATCTACATCTAATATAACTGATCTCATTTCTTCACTTCGTGATTTCAGAGAGAATTTCAAAACTATTATGAAAGATGTCGTTACAGCGATTAGCGGAGGAGTTACGAATAAGGAGCAACTTCTTAATGTAAGTTCGGTTTCATAGCTTTCTAAAAACAAACCTCGTTACATGTCCTCTTTTCTACTGTTTAATGGAAATCCACCTAAATGTGAAGACCTCAATATCTCTTTCATTTGCAATGACAGAAAAAATATTTCTTATGTTATATAAATGCTACCAAAACATGAACGCTGCAAGATTTTCTTCAACGTCATTTTGTTCTAAGTGTTTAAGGTAGCTCGATAGCACTTGCAAAACATATACGATTTTAATACAAGTTGAACTAAACAATAGTTAGAGTATGGAACTTTCATTTTCCGTAAAGAAAATATAGGCTTTCCGTGAAAATTTTTTATAAAGATGCATTACAAAATTCTTGGCCGCCTGCTATACGGGCGCTCTGATTGGTCGGAGTTTTTCATTAACAACTCGACAACCACGCTTCAAACAACTTTTTTTACAAAGGAAAATATTATTTAAAATCACCTCAGGAACCGCCCATTATAAAATGTACCACGAGTTCTGGGATACTCTGTGTACATACATGCAGGATATCCCAGAAAAAGTGTCAGAGCCGAAAAGAGGTGACTTCGTAGGTTTCTGAACAGCAATTTCCTTATGCAAAATGTACAGTCAGTCACGGTTTTTGAACTGTTAACGAGGAATACTGACTAATGACGGAAATATTGGCTCGAATCGTAAAGCTCGGCCGTGGTTCAGCGCGGGCCCTACACGTGCTTTCATTGGTCAGCATTCTTCGTTAATAATTCAAAAACCATGCCTCACTCTGCATTTTGCCAAAAGAAAGTTTTGTTAAAAAATACATACACAATCATCTCTATTCGGCTCTAATACTTTCTCAGTATATTTCGGACAGGTACCCTATCCTAAATCATACATCCGTTCCCAATACCTCGATTATACTACACAAGTGATCCTGAGATGATAGAAGCAAGACCTAAATACCCGTCACTTCGCGATTAATAAAGAATTTTGGAATTTAAATCGAAATGTATAGAATTGTTCGTTTGATTTCAGCTGACCGCATTTTTCCTGGGTAGAAAACTGGATCCGGAGGATGATGTCTTGAAAGATGCGGTACAGAACATGATATGGATTAATAAATACAAGTCAACTGTAGATGAGTGGCTGGGCGATAACAGTGATATATTCGAGAGGCCCGATAACGGAGGTAATAGTATAGGCGCGTCGTTCCTCGTTATACTCTTATTATTAATTACCCGATTTTGTTAACACGTAGTTTTAATAAAATAGAAGCATTACAGCGTAGTTCTAAGAAAATAGACGCATTACAGCGTAGTTTTACTGAAATAGGAACTGACCAAACGAGTGAACGAATGTAATCAAGCATAAAGAGTTTTAGAATCAATATACCAGGAGTATACTTAAACGAAACGCATAAACGCGATAGAAATACGTAGGACGCCAAGTGTGCCAATAGATTTCATAAAATACTTACAGACAGTGTAAATAAATATTTTTATATCCTCTCGATGAAAGT